AGCCTGGCCCATCCAGGCCTCAATAAGACACCACAGTACAGCCCCGTAGCCAGAAATGTCTGGCTGGTAGGGCAGGGGCCAGGGTGCTTGGGCAGGGGAACTTAATTAGATTAGTGTGGGGGTGGGGAGTAGCAAAGGGAAGAGAAAGGCACGTCCCCCCTCTCCTTCCCCAGCCCCTCTTCCCGTGGTGGTGGAGAGGCTGGGGAAGGAAAGAGAAGCCACCCTGCCACTTCTGGTCCGTGTCACTCCCCTCAGATCAGCTGTGAGGTCTTACACCTGTTGCTGGGGGAGTGAAAATGACCAGAAGCGGCAGGGCAGCTTCCCTTTCCTTCCCCAGCACCCCGCCACAGCAGTTGTGACTGCAATACTCTCTCTAAGCCAGGTGTGGCCAAACCTGCTTACTGTAAGAGCCACACAGAACAAGCATCAGAGGTTTGAGAGCCACAAGACACGGACAAATACCACCCACACGTTTTTATTGAAAAATATGCACGTTTGCTTTTTATTAACATGAGACCGCCAAAAATAAAAACAAAAGGAGGAAAACCAGACATTGATATCTATTGGTCCAATGATATTTACTTTGTTTGCTAATGATATTTGTCGGCGAGAGAGGTGGAAAGAATGAAAGTGGTGGAAAGAGGGAGAAGCAAAGAAAGCAAATAGATGGGGGAGGGATGAAGGAAGAGAGGCAGAAAGAGAGCGAGCAAATAGATGGGGAGCTTCCCGGGAGCCACACAATATGTGTGGAAGAGCCACATGCGGCTCCCGAGCCACAGTTTGGCCACCCCTGCTCTAAGCTGTGGAGTCTTGTGAGCAAAAATTCTACTTGGTGAGCTACTGGCATTAAAGTTGTGAGCGAGTGATTTGGCTACTGCATACATTAGTTTGCTCTGGAGCCATCCTCCCTGAGCTAAGACGAAAATGTGTGAGCTGGAGGCTAAAAAACTGTGAGCTAGCTCACACTAACTCAGCTTAGAGGGAACACTGGTTGCGAGGCACACTGGGGTGGGGTCTGGCATCCTCCCGGGGTCGAGCAGGGATTGTCAGTGGTGCGGCTTTGCCCCCAACCATTGCTATGAGCCTGGCAGTACTGTTGCTTTCAGATGACTTACAGGATATTGGTAGTATGAAGTTCAGAGTAGTTCATGCAGTTGGAAGGCGCTAGGCTGAAAATTTATTAATCAAAGGCAGTGTACAAATAAAATAAATCCCAGCAGCTAATTTATAGACATAAGGGGCAGGTTTTTTTTTTGTTAAATTGCCATTAATCTAGATTGATGAAATTGTTGGCAAATAGTTAATTGCTCTCCTTGCAACAGTATAGGGGCAACTCAAGTTATCCGTGCAGGAGACTCCCCCTTTAGAACTGTTTTTTATTGGCTAGTGATTTGACTTATCCCCCAATCCTAGCCTAGCTCAATTTCTGAGCACATCCCTCCTTCAAATACCGATCCTGGGTACTCCCTGCTCCAATGGCCTACCTGCTAATCTAATTTCTATACAAGCTTCATAGCGTCTGACGTCCTAATATCATCATTATTACTGAGTGATGCTATGGTTATGTGCTGCTTTAAAACCTGGAATTAAGCTGTTATGCTTATTTTATTGGTTGCATGTATCGTGAAGATCTTACTGTTCTATTATATTAATTGCTATAGCTCTTGAGCGAATAGTGAATGAATATCTGGTTCCTACCAGCTACATACAACATCTCACCCCAAGACCCTGAGAGAGAGCACAGTTAGAAGATAATATTTCCAAATGGCTTAAGCACATCTGGGGCTGCAGTTATCTTTTCTGTCGTTTTGCCATCAAATTGCAAGAGACTTATGGTGACCCCATACGGTTTTCAAGATAAGAGACTCACAGAGGCGTCTGCGATTGCCTGCCTTTGCATAGCAACCCTGGCATTCCTTGGTGGTCTCCCATCCGAATACTAACCAGGGCCGACCCTGCATAGCCCCCAAGATCGGACTATCCTGGGTTATCCTAGCTCTTAGTAATGGGTCTCAGGAGCAGGTGGTATGGTGTCAAATATTATTGTGTTGCATGGCACAAATATTATCTACTCATTTTCATTGGTGAGGGGTCTGGAGACTAAGTCCTATGAGGAAAGGCTGAAGGAGCTGGGTATGTTTAGCATGGAGAGGAGACGACTGAGAGGTGATAGGATAACCATCTTCAAGTACTTCAAGAGCTGTCATACAGAGGATGGTGCGGAGTTGTTTTCTGTTGCCCCAGAAGGTCGGACCAGAACCAACAGGTTGAAATTAAATCAAAAGACTTTTTGGCTAAACATTAGGAAGAACTTCCTGACAGAGCCGTTCCTCAGTGGAACAGGCTTCCTCGGGAGGTGGTGGGCTCTCCTTCTTTGGAGGTTTTCAAACAGAGGCTAGATGGTCATCTGACAGCAATGCGGATTCGGTGAACTGAGGCAGATCATGAGAGGGAGGGCAGGAAGGGTCGCCTCAGTGCTTAGTTCTCGTGGCTCTTTCTTATATGCCCAGGGAAATGCTGATCACCACTTTGGGGTCAGGAAGCACCCAGCTCTATGGATGCTTCTGGTGCAGGGAGTTGGGCAGTCAGGAATGAAGAGAGAAAGGTAAACCATGTAGGACGAACTGTGCTTCAGTCCTTCCAGTCCAATCTATCTTACTTTTTTTGTGCTCTTGGGCTAATGCTGCCAACAGCTCTCGTCCAAACTGCTATCAGCTGAAGCGCCTGAAAAAGAAATGTGTCAACATGACCTAGAAACACAACAGTGAGGGATAAAAGAATTAGTGAAAAGCACTGCAGTAAAAAACCTGCAGGCCCCAGGTTTGGGAATAACTGCAGAGACAGAGACACACAGAGAGCCCTCTTTGCATGTTTGCACTGCTATAAAGTCTCGGACTCGTTAGCAGCCCGACCCATTTACTGCAGCGTAAGATTTCATGGGTCACAGCCCAATTTATCCATTTCTGTGTAGAACTGCAATTCCACTAGAAAAACTAAGGAAACCACATTCTACTTTGGATGCCCCCCAAGGTTAAATCCAGTCTTCAGCGCACAGCTGTGGTACCAGGCCATTCAGCAGACCAGCTAGGAATGCCTTCTCTCACTGGGGTGAATGTACATACTTCCTGAAAAAGCAGCTGCCCCTTTTCAGTGTAGCTAAGATTCCGGATGGCAAAAGAACTCTGTTGAGGCATGTACAACAGCGATTTCTTATCACTGAAAGGTACGTTGACCACATAATAAACTCTGAAATTAGGGTAGTCTCCAGTGGTGCAAGGCTCAGTAGAAAGCACTGGGGTTTTTTGCCACCAAGTGATAACTGACTTATGGCGACCCCGTAGGGGTTTCAAGGAAAGTGAAGTTTAGAGATGGTTTTCCACTGCCTCCCACCACGTCACAACCCTGGTATTCCTTAGAAGTCTCCAATCTAAATACTAGCCTGGGCTGACCCTGCTTAGCTTCCAAGATCTGAAAAGATTGGGCTAGCATGAGCTAGCTCAGAGGTCAGGGCAAAACTGGTAGGCTCCAATCCACAGACTACATCCTCCACAACTGGTGGTGGCGGAAAGTGCCATCAAGTTGCATATGACTTAGCCAGGGCTCTTTTTGTAGCAGGAACTCCTTTGCATATTAGGCCACACACCCCTGATGTAGCCAATCCTCCAAGAGCTTACAGTAGCCTCTGTAAGAGCTCTGTAAGCTCATGGAGGATTGGCTACATTAGAGGTGTGTGGCCTAATATGCAAAGGAGCTCCTGCTACAAAAAGAGCCCTGCTTATGGCGACCCCCATCAGGGTTTTCAAGGCAAGAGATGTTCAGAGGTGGTTTGCCATTGCCGGTCTCCACATCACGATCCTGGACTTCCTTGGCAGTCTCCCTTCCAAGCACTAACCAGGGCCGACCCCGCTTAGCTTCTGAGATCGGATGGGACTGAGCTAACCTGAGCCAACACTGGAGTTTTCAGGAACCGCAAACTTCAAAGGCAGAGTGCTGATGCAAAATTCTGGATCGGGTGCTGATCAAAGGCTTCAGCACTCTATTGAGAACAATCGGAAACGATTAAGACAAAGCGACAGCCAAGGCTGCAACCCTCCCGCCAGTCAAAAATAAAATCAGGAATCCAGGCTATATTCTTAAATATGGTTTAATACTCTTCTCCATTTCTGTACATCACAACACCAAGATATCACTGCTGGGAGCTCTCTGAAGAGGCTACGTAGTATGCAAAAGAGGCTAGGATTTCCACTCTCGTAATGTGTTTTGTGTGAGCGTAATACATATCAGTATATATTGATATACACATCAATATATAATGCAATATATATCACCAGAGATAACACATTGATTAAAGAGATACAAAAAATTTGGCATCGTTTCCAAACTTAAATAGTAAAAATAAAACTACTAAAAAAAAAACCAAGAAAAAAAAGGAGCTGCATACCCTAAATGTGAAACAAGCAGTATATTCCAAAAAAATAAAATAAAAAAATGTAAATTTACACCCAATTTCTTTTTTCTGCTCTTGTCGTGTCACAGCAGACCCATTTACCATGGCAAAAATCAAAGTGTCACTGCTTTGAAGAGCACAAGAATGCTTTGTGGTCAGGCGTTCCACAAACCCGATTGCATACCCAAGACCCCACCAAAGGGCTTCTGTTAAGAGAGACACTGCCCAGTGCAAACGCGCCTTGTGGACAACGGCAAACACCACCCTGCCCTGCTGAGTTATAAAAAGATACAAATGCTATTGCTCGCACAGACAAAGTTGTTTTGGACCTCTTTCGAAGAATACACTGTGACAAGAAGGTGTAGGGTTTTTTTAAGACAAAACTCCCCCCTTCTTTGATTCAAGTGAGACAGGATTATCGGAACAATGCACGATGTTTGTAGAGTCGGGGAAGCTTCTGACCCGATATATATATATATATA